CTAGTTTTTTGTATTTTTAGTAGAGACGTGGGGTTTCACCGTGAGCAGCTGTGATAATCCCGACTCCTGACCGTGATCCGCCTCCTCGCCTCCCTAAGGCTGGGATTACAGGCTTGACAACCTAATAGTTTTAAAGCTCATCCATTTATGTGTCTGGTTCTCTCAAGGGCAGGGCTGAACACATCAGGTTAATCCCTTCCAAGACCTAGGCTGACTGGTCAGATCAAAAGCACTTCAGTAAATTCCCTGTTGACTGATGAAGCTAAGCTGTCCTCAAGGCAGGCAGAGTTGCGGATCTACTAAGTCTTACCAGGTTGATCTCTAAGATGGTTTTTGTAGCCTCCTCTTCTCTGAAATGTAATTGAGTCCCCACCGCTTACAAATGACTTGCATCTTTGTCATACTTTAGGGAAGTGGGGAGGACCACTTAATCTTTGGAAAATTTTGCCCCTTGGCCACTATTGAGCCTCTTGGAGGGGTTTGTTTAGGTCTGCAGAGAGTGGGATACGGTGCTCAGTAAAGTTTTTTTGAATAAGGGAGAAGCTTTATATTAGCCGAGGACACAAAGACCCCTTCAGAGCAAGTGGAGTTGGTGGCCTAGGAGTTCATGACTTGATTCTATGAATCCTGACTTCCGACCAGTGCATATCCAAAATAATTTAAGATTTGTCCTGAGGTTGCCAACTTTTAATTTTGCCAAATAAGTACGCGAATACATGTAATTATGTACTTTTAATAGTTAATATATGTTCATGGTACAGCATTTAAAATGTCCAAAAGGATATACAGCAAAATGAAATGAGTCTCATACATCCTCTCTCTAGTTGCTTAAAACTATTCAGTTCCTTCCAGGAGGCAAAAGGATATTACTTGATCCTCTTCCCGAGATAGCCCACGCATTTAAAAACAGGTATGATCAATAGCCTTCCTTCCCCATAAATGGTAGTGCATTCAAATACTGTTTGACAGCTTGAGTTTACCCCTACATTTCCTTAGAGATCTTTAAAATCAATACATTAAAAAAATTAAAATCAATACATAGAGCTGCCTTATTCTTTTGAAGGCTGTGTAATATTAGGAAGGGTATTAAAACAAACAGCTGTTATCTTTTTTAACTTAAAAGGTATATTTAAATAGTAAAAGAAAGAATGCAATTTCAAGCAGGGCGTGGTGGCTCATGCTTGTAATCCCAGCAATTTGAGAGGCTGAGGCAGGAGGATACTTGAGCCCAGGTGTTTAAGACCAGCCTGGGCAACATAGTGAGAGACTGTACCTCTACAAAAAAAAATGACAAAAATTAGCTGGGCGTGATGGTATGAGCCTGCAGTCCTGTGCAACTCTGGTATTGAGCTGGGGGATCACTTGAGGTAAGGAGTTCAGCTGTGAGTGTGCCATGGTGGCACCACTGTACTCCAGCCTGGGCAACAGAGCAAGACCCTGTCTCAAAAAAAAAAAAAAATGATTTACAGTCAAAAGAAAATTTCCTGCCTTAGTCCAAGGACCCTGTGTGAGAAAACTGTTGCTAGAGATAGTAAACCATTGTGTACAGTGGTTTAAGGCCAGGTACAATGACTCGCGCCTGTAATCCCAGCACTTTGGGAGGCCGAGGCGGGCGGATCACGAGACGAGAGATTGAGACCATCCTGGCTAACACGGTGAAACCCCATCTTTACTAAAAATACAAAAAATTAGCTGGGCATGGTGGTGGGCGCCTGTGGTCCCAGCTACTTGGGAGGCTGAGGCAGGAGAATGGCATGAACCCAGGAGGCGAGCTGCAGTGAGCTGAGATCGCCTCCACTGCACTCCAGCTCGCGACAGAGCGAGACTCCATCTCAAAAAAAAAAAAAAAAGTGGTTTGAATAGGAATGTGTTAGAACAGATTGTGTTGTTTTAGAGAGGTTTACTAGCTTCAGGTAGGCTGGAATGAATGAGAGGGTAAGAGATACATAATTGCCATTGGATATCCTTCTCCCATTTTGCAGAGAGAAGTGGATTTAGGGAATCCTCTCTTGTCTCCTACAGTTGTACTATTTCATTTGTCAGATCAGACAATTAGCCAGTCTGCTGTCAAGATGTTCTGTGTTTATAGCAGCTGTCAGTTGGATTGGAGTAGGAAGACTAGTTTCAGGGCTGTTTATGTCTTTTGTTAATATTTTTGAGCAATTAAGGTATGCATAGTAGCACCAGGGGAACATGGAAAACATACTCTTCCAGTCCTCTGTGAGATTTATACACATGAAGTGATGGGGGCCTGAACTTGAGAGTGGGAATTGGAATAGTTACAAAGTCTGAGAATGTTGGAATTAAAAAAACTGACAGAATACATGACCTTTGGGAAGAATAAGAAGAGTGGAATTCATTTGCTAAACATTTATTGAGTACCTAGTATGTGCAAAGTACTGCGATACGTTAATAACGCCAAGCAAACTGCCTTAGAGGGTGCTAGTGTAGGGCTGAAAAGTACACAGTATACAGACACAAGAAAGCAGGCCTGTTCATTTAGGTAGCATGTGTTTATTAGGACAGCACTGTACTAGGTGCTGGATATAAGAAAGGAAGGAAATGGTACAAACCAGGTTGCAGGGAGAAAATACGGATAGAATGTAAACTTTGTCAGTCTCAAATAGCTATTTGATTAATATAAGTGTTTTCAGAGAAAAACTCCATACAATATTTTTATTTATTTTTAACCCTTTATTTTTTGGAATGAGCAGTACCTTTATATAGTTGAAATAAAAAAGCATTATAAGGTATACTGCAAAAAGTCTCCCTCCTATTTTTGCCCCTCCCCGCCTCTTATCCAGATATCTCTCTTGTGTCAGGAATAAATGCTGGAAAAAGAAACCAGCCTGAGTATTTTAACCACAAAAGGATTTAACGTAGGGAATTGGGTACTACATTGCTGGAAAGGCTGGAAGGGTGGGACTCAAGGAGGCTGCCCTTAGGGTATCATCTTGAAAGGCCCACAATTGTAGCTGTGATCTGGAGGTCAGGAAATCACTACTGGCACTGCCATCTGCACCACTGCTGCCTGACATGCATGAAGCTGATGATTAGACATTAGGCTCTGACTATTGCAGAGCAGCAGCAGCAGCAGCAGCAGCAGCAGCAACATCTGGGAGCTTGTGAGAGCTCTTAGGCCCCAGCTTGGCCTACTGAATCAGAATTTTCATTTCAACAGGATATCCTGATGATTTACATGTATGTGGAAGCTTGACAGGCCTTGTGCTGGACCTGGCCACTAACCCAAGGGTTTTTACGACCTTGGCCACCAATTGTAAGGAAGTCAGGGAAATGTAGTTGTTGATTTTCCCAACTCTCAGTCTAGAAAGAAGGTTAAATGGAGGTTGAAAGAAACTATCTACTGAACTGGCCACACTTTTCCACAAGTAACCTTTGTTGTTTCTTGGGCATCCTTCCAAATACTTTTTGCATATATAAGCATATGTGAATACATATCCTTCTTTCTCTTCTTTAAAAAAATAAGTCAGGTGTGGTGACTCATGCCTGTAATTCCAGCATTTGGGGAGGCTGAAGTGGGCAGATAGCTTGAGCCCTGGAGTTTGAGACCAGCCTGGGCAACATAACAGAACTCTGTCTCTACAATAAATACAAAAATTAGCCTTGTATGGTGGTGTGCGCCTGTAGTTTCAACTACTTGGGAGGCTAAGGCTGGAGGGACACTTGAGCTGGGGAGAGGGAGGTTGTAGTGAGCTGAGATCATGCCACTGCACTTCAGCCTGGGTGACAGAGTGAGACCCTGTCTCAATCAATCAGTCAATCAGTCAATCAATAAAACAAAGCAATAGCTTAACATATACAGTGTTCTGCATCATGTAACTGTATACCTTAGAAGAGCTTTCCATATCTTGACAGATAAAAATCATCTTGTTCTTTTTAATAACTGTGTAGTATAAGGCCAGGCGTGGTGGCTCATGCCTGTAATGCTAGCGCTTTGGGAGGCTGAGGCAGGCAGATCATGTGGTCAAGAGATCAAGACCATCCTGGCCAACATGGTGAAACCCCGTCTACTAAAAATACAAAAATTAGCCGGGCGTGGTGGCGGGTGCCTGTAATCCCAGCTACTCCGGAAGCTGAGGCAGGGGAATCTCTTGAACCAGGGAGGTGGAGGTTGCAGTGAGCAGAGATCGCGCCACTGTACTCCAGCCTAGCGACAGAGCGAGACCCTGTCTCAAACAAACAAAAAAACCCCTGCATAGTATTCCATTATGTTGCTTACAAAATGCTTAAAATTGAGACTGTCTAATACAGTCTGGGTTGCGTGGTCATTCTGCTTTATTGGCACACGTAAAATCTAATCTAGTTGTTAAATGTTTTCTTCTTGCCTCTTGTGTGCCCATGTGCCCATGTCTTTTGTGTATGTCATCTTGTTTAATCCACACTACAACCCAGTGTGCTTCTTCCACTTTACATGAGGGAACTCAGGCTCTGAAAGTTTAATTTAATAGTTTATAAACTGGCCGGGCATGGTGGTTCACCTTTGTAATCTCAGCATTTTGGGAGGCTGAGGCGGGCAGATCACCTAAGGCCAGGAGTTTGAGACCAGCCTGGTCAACATGGTGAAACCCCATCTCTACTAAAAATACAAAAATTAGCCGGACATGGTGGCAGGCGCCTGTGATCCCTGCTACCCGGAAGGCTGAGGCAGGGAGAGTCACTTGAACCCAGGACGTTGCAGTGAGCCAAGAGCACACCACTGCATTCCAGCCAGGGTGACAGAGCGAGACTCTGTCTCAAAAATAAAATAAAATAAAATAGTTCATAAAATAAGGAATATGCAGGTTGGGATTTGGATCTCAGGTCTATTACCTTCCCTAATTTGTGATTTGACCCAATTACACGGAGTCTCTAAACGGTAGGCCTGGTAACCTTCTCCTTTGGGAAGAGGTTTGGAAATATACCATTATGGATATTTGGATATTTGGGGTGGGTATTAAAGGAATGCCAATTTTTTTTTTTTTTTTTTTTTTCTGACTCAGGTATCCAGCTCACATAGAAGACATTGACTATGAGGAGGGAAAAGTACTCATCCATTTCAAGCGCTGGAACCATCGTTATGATGAGTAGTTCTGCTGGGACAGTCCTTATTTACGCCCTTTAGAGAAAATACAGCTGAGGAAAGAGGGCTTGCATGAAGAGGATGGATCTTCTGTGAGTAAGAAATCTGGGAAGTTCTATAGTACGCAAGGTCAGCCATTGGGCTGTTTGTGTTTCAATCTTTGATGTTCAGTAGCAGCTGGGGACCAGTTCTTATTTAGGCCTATAGTTGTAACCCTGAGATCTCAATGACACCTGGGGCTCTTGAAGAATCCCAGTTTTTTTGTTTGTTTGTCTGTTTGTTTTTTGAGACAGAGTCTTGCTCTGTTGCCCAGGCTGGAGTGTAGTGGTGCAATCTCTGCTCACTGCAACCTCCACCTCTCGGTTTCAAGCGATTCTCATGCCTCAGCCTCCCTAGTAGCTGGGATTACAGGTGCCCACCATGGCTAATTTTTGTATTTTTAGTAGATATGGGGTTTTGCCACATTGGCCAGGCTGGTCTCAAACTCCTGACCAATTTTACAGCACTGTATCCCTAACTTCTAGAACACTGCCTGGCACATAGTAGATCTTCTGATCTTTTGTTAAGCTATCTGATCTTTTGTTAAGTGATCATTCCGGCCAGGCGCGGTGGCTCACACCTGTAATCCCAGCACTTTGGGAGGCGGAGGCGAAGGTGGAGGCGGGTGAATCACAAGATCAGGAGTTTGAGACCAGCCTGGGATACCCCGCCTCTACTAAAAACATGAAAAATTAGCTGGGTGTAGTGGAGGGTGCCTGTCATCCCAGCTACTCGGGAGGCTGAGGCAGGAGAATTGCTTGAACCCAGCAGGCAGAGGTTGCAGTGAGCCAAGATGATCACGCCACTGCACTCCAGCCCAGGTGACAGAGTGAGATTCCATCTCAAAAAGAAAATAAAGTGATCATTCCATGTAGAGCATTGTACTAATCTCATATGCAAGGTATTTGTTTTTCTTTTGAGACAGGGTCTCGCTCTGTTGCCCAGACTGGAATGCAGTGGTGCGATCATGGCTCACTGCAGCCTCAATCTCAGGCTGAAGCAATCTTTCCACTTCACCTTCCCGAGTAGCTGGGACCATGGGCCCACCACACCCGGCTAATTTTTAAATTTTTTTTATACAGACAGTGTCTCACATTGTTGCCCAGGCTGGTCTTGAACTCTTGGGCTCAAGCAGTCCTCCCACCTTGGTCTCCCAAAGTGCTAGGATTATAGGGGTAAGCTCGTCATGCAAAATCTTTTATAAGCCCTCAAAGAACTTGGAATTGATTGGACTGTATTCCATTTTTCTCAATTTTATCTCTATGCCTGGAGCTTTTATTGACTTCAAAATGCAGTATGAAGTTTTAAGGTTTTTTTGTTTTGTTTTGTTTTGCTTTGTTTTAAGCAATGAAAGCACACATTTACTGAAATGAAAGTACACTCCATAGAGTGGGAGCGGGCTCGAGTAAGTAGCTCAAGAGCCGTGTTTTTGTTTGTTTGTTTTTGAGATGGAGTCTTGCTCTGTCACTCAGGCTGGAGTGCAGTGGCTCGATCTCAGCTCACTGCAACCTCCGTCTTCTGGGTTCAAGCGATTCCCCTGCCTCAGCCTCCCGAGTAGCTGGGACTACAGGTGCATGCCACCATACCTGGCTAATTTTTTGTATTTTTAGTAGAGAGAGGTTTCATTGTTAGCTACGATGGTCTTGATCTCCTGACCTCATGATCCGCCTGCCTCAGCCTCCCAAAGTGCTGGGATTACAGGTGTGAGCCACTGCGCCCAGCCTGTTTTTTTGTTTTCTTAAAGAGACGTTTTCTTGCTCTGTCGCCCTGTCTGTAGTGCGGTGGTACAGTCTTTGCTCAATGTAGCTTTGACCTCTTGGGCTCAAGCAATCCTCCTTCCTCAGCCTCCTGAGTACCTGGGACTATAGGCATATACCACTGTGCCTGGCTAATTAAAAATTTTTTTTTGTAGAGACAAGGTCTCATTATGTTGCCCAGGCTGGTCTTGAACTCCTGGCCTTAAGGGATCTTTCTGCCAAAGAAAGAAGATCCTTCGTACCTCCCAAAGTCCTGGGATTTTAGGCGCGTGCCCTTGTGCCTGGCCAGTTTTAAGGTTTTTAAACAGGCATTGAGACATCTATAATGGTCCTGCTACTTTTAGATCTGACTCAGCCCTGCCTTCTATTTTCTTTTTCTTATCTTTTTTTTTTTTTTTTTTTGAGACAGTCTTACTCTATTGCCAAGGCTGGAGTGCAGTGGCATGATCTTGGCTCACTGCAACCTCTGTCTTCCAGGTTCAAGTGATTCTCGAGTCTTAGCCTTCTGAGTAGCTGGGACTACAGGTTCATCCAACCACACCTGGCTAATTTTTGTATTTTTAGTAGAGGTGGGATTTCATCATGTTGGCCAGACTCCTGACCTCAGGTGATCCACCTGCCCCAGCCTCCCAAAGTGCTGGGATTACAGGCACAAGCCAGTGTGTCTGGCTTATTTTCTATTTTAACCCTATTAGGGAACTTGAACTCTTACTGGCCTTTTTTTTTCTTTTTCCCAATTAAGGATTATTCAGTATTGTTCCATTTGACTTTTCAGTGTTCATTCTACAATTTTTTTTTTTTTTTTTTTTGAGACAGAATCTCACTGTGTCACCCAGCCTGGAGTGCAATGGCATGATCTCAGCTCACTGCAACCTCCACCTCCTGGGTTCAAGTGATTCTCCTACCTCAGCCTTCTGAGAAGCTGGGATTACAGGCAGCTGCCACCACACTGGCTAATTTTTGTATTTTTAGTAGAGAGGGGATTTCACCATGTTGGCCAGGCTGTTCTCTACCTCCTCATCTCAGGTGATCTGCTCACCTCGACCTCCCAGAGTGCTGGGATTACAGGTGTGAGCCACTGTGCCTGGCCCGTTGTGCAAAATTTATCAGTGCAAACTGTGTGCTGGGAAAAGTGTATAAAATATTAAAGGTGAATGGTTGCTTTCCCTGGCTAAAGACCCTTTAGAAGTGTAGGTGGCATTAAATGCTGCTTCCCTGAGTATGAAGTAGCCTCATAATCTTCTAACTCCTATACTGGATGTGTATCCTAGTAGTCCTGGCCTCTTAGACTCATTTTCAGAATGTATGTTGATTAGGGTGGAATTATCATCAGTGCTGTGCCGTGCCTGCCCAGACCTCTTGGGCTTATTGAGGTCTTGTGTCCCAGCCCTTTTGTTTTGACTCTTGTCTTAGTCTTTTTTGTGTTGCTATAATAGAATATCTGAGACTAGGTAATTTATGAAGAAAAGAGGTTTGCTTAGCTCACAATTCTGCAGGCCGGGAAGTTCAAGTGCATGGTACTGTCTTCTGGCATCAGCTTTCATGCTGCATCATACATGGTGGAAGGTCAAAGAGGGAGACAAGTATGAAGAGAGGGAGCTAACAGGAGGAGGAGCCTTGCTTTATAACAACTTGCTTTCTTGGGAATGAATCCATTCCCAGGAGAGTGAGAAGTCACTCCTGTGAGACAGCATTAATCTGTTCATGAGGGATTTGCCACCATGACCCAAACACCTCTCATAGGCCCCATCTCCAACTCTGTTGCCCTGAAAACGTTAACTTTTGGCGAGGACAAATGGCACCGAATTTATAGCAACTCCTGGTGTTGAACAACAGAAATATTTTCCTCCATCCCAATAGCTACTTTCCTTTCTCACTCTCTTATCAATCCCAGCCTCTTTTATGAGATCTGGTACAGTGCATGTCCTGTGAAATTAGGTTGGTAACAGGATCTTTTTTTTTTTTTTTTTTTTTTTTTTTTGTTTGTTTTTTAGGAATTTCAAATAAATGAGCAGGTCCTTGCTTGCTGGTCTGATTGTCGTTTTTACCCGGCCAAAGTCACTGCTGTTAACAAGGATGGTAAGGCATTTGAGTTGTAGTTGTTTTTACTCATGATTTAGGTGGTGGTGGTTGGCGGGGGGGATGTTTGTAATGTTAGAGCATGATAGTATATTTTCAGTATTTCTTTACTGCCTAGGTATCTGCTTTATTCAAGTTAATCACTATGTCAGGAGTTGGGAAGAAATTATAAGTGTAAAGAAAACTGGACAAAAAAGGTAGTTTGACTTTTTACCCCCTAATTTTCAGGCATTGTTTTCTAAAACAGTCACAGTTCATCTGTCACTCTTCCTGGAAGTATGCAGGTACTTGCTGTCTAGGAGTTCCTAATAAAATTGATGAGATAGCCCTGAATATTTGTGAATAGCCTAGAAATTAAATGAACACTAACAAACTTTAAAAAATGTGCTTTCTTGATGCAAGGTGATTGAGGGTGGTCTGTAACATTGGAGTTGGCTAGTGGAAACTGGGATGCCGGAAGTTAGAGCACTGAGTTGGGTTTCTTTTGCCAGAGCTGAACATGTGGAGACAGAATGGGAAACTTGACTAATAGAGGCTCATTTTGCTAGTAAAAGGGCAGGCAAAGAGTTTTGAGGATAATACGTATGGTCAGAATCCTGACACCTGGAGAACAGAGTCTAGGTCCCAGTGATACCGTTGTAAGCACGTTCCACCAGGGTATGTGTGATCTCCATGGTCTCTGAAGTGAATGTTTAGGGAAGTCAGGCCTCTTGATGCCACTGTAGGGTTGACTCTTAGGTCAGTCTGAATTTTCATTTGATGAAGTTATTCAGGTATTTATTAATATTCTACTAACTGCTGGGCCTCAGGCTGACTAAGTTTTGTCTGAGAATGATTTTTTTTTTCTTGTTCTTTTTTGAGACAGAGTCTTGCTCTGTTGCCCAGGCTGGAGTGCAGTGGTGCCAGCTCAGCTCACTGCAGCTTCCATCTCCTGGGTTCAAACAATTCTCCTGCCTCAGCCTCCCGAGTAGCTGGGATTACCAACGTGCACCATGGTCAGCTAAATTTTGTATCTTTAGTAGAGACGAGGTTTTGCTAGGTTGCCCAGGCTGGTCTCATGTGATCTACCCACCTCAGCCTCCCAAAGTGTTGGGATTATAGGTGTGAGCCACCATATCCAGCCGCAACTTTTTAGAGAAGTATTTTTCAGGCCAAACACCATGGTTCGTGCCTATCATCCCGGCAGTTTGGGAGGCCATGGTAGGAGGATCAGTTGAGGCCAGGAATTTGAGACCAGCCTGGGCAACACAGTGAGACCTCATCTCACTATGAAAAAATTAGATGAGGGTGGTGGCATGTTTCTGTAGTCCTAGCGACTCGCATGGCTGAGGTGGGAAGATCCTTTGAGCCCAGGAGTTTGAGGCTGCAGCAGGCTATGAGAGTGTCATTGTACTCCAGCCTGGGCAGCAGAATGAGACGGTCTCTTTAAAAAAAAAGTATTTTCAGTTGTGCTTCCTCCATAAGCTAAAATTATAGGAGGGAGAGTCTCAAGGCTATGGTAGTTCCTAAAATGGTCATTTGCAATGCTAATATATTGTTTCTGAAGCTCCATATTCTGTCCAGTGAAATTTAGTTAATTGAAGGACGTGAAAATGAGTGGAAATTTCTGCCAAAACCTGTTTTCCTGAGGTTCTCGGGTCTGAAGTCCTATATTACGCTGACACACTGACTGGTTTTTGGGACTAACTGGATGAGGGAGGAGAGAATATGGGAGAGGGGCAATCCTGAAACAGAAAGTTAGTGGGACAGGCCAGGTGGTACTATTGGCCACCCAGATTGTGAAGGAAGGCTAGCCTTTGTAGGAGCTCAGATCTATGTCTGATTTGGAGATGAAGATGATTAATGCCTCTAAGAGGGGTGGGAAGATGTGTTGGTGGAGGCAATGAAGGCTTAGTAATCTACTGTTTAGATCTACTACCTGCAGAGCCCAGAGCTTGGCATCATGGAATAAGATAAAAGAAGACCTGCGGTAGAATGAAGTAGGTGCTGAAATAGAGCTACCAGGAGGAGGCAGGGCAGGATGGTGCAGGTTAATCATGGTAGGCACCTGTCTCTATAAGGTTTTGTGTTTGTGTGTGGGATGGGTCAGAACCTCTTTGAAATAATTATTTCAAAAATGTTAGGTTTGGATTAGTGCTAATGATCAGTTTCTGCTTCATCACGATTCACTGTGGGATTACTTGTGGGATTGGGAGCGACAATGCTAGTCTCTCTTTTCTCTCTTTCCCTGGTCTTTTCTGCTGTGCCTTAGGTTCATCCGTAGCAGTGACCACCAGCTTAATGGCCCTGTGAGGAGCAGCTCTGCTGGCAAGGCAGCATGTTTATTTCCTGTAAATGTCACTTATGTCTTGTTGGTGCTGCCAGGAGGAGGCAGGGGATATAGTGAAGTCACGCCTTGTAGATTTATGTTTAGAAGCCTTGGTGTGATTTTCTTGCCACTCTTAATCTCCTTGGATGTTTTGCTAAGGCTGATTGTTGATCTGGCTGGTGGGTGGGGACTCTAGCCAGAGTGGAAGTGGCAGCTGCTGGCACTGAGGAGTCTGGCATGATTGAATCAGAACTAAATAACAACTTTAGTTTCTTAAGGGAGTCTGTTAGCACTTGGAAAATAGGGCATTTAATGCCATATTATTTAGCTTTTTTCAGTTGGAATGGTTCTTCAGCAGTGGAGATTAAGCATTATTTAGTGTGAAGGCAGTGGCAGTTGGTAGTCTTGTTAGACTCTCAGTCTATGTTGTTGTAAAAGACAGTAAAAGATGGGTTTCTACGTTCAGGGAATCTTTGTTTGGAAGCCATCTCTGGTGAGCTGACCTCACCTCTTTGCTGGGGCTGCCTAGCTTCCCCCTCCCTTTTTTTTTTGTTTGTGACAGAATCTTGCTCTGTTGCCCAGGCTGGAGTACAATGGCGCAATCTCTGCTCACTGCAACCTCTGCCCCCGGGGTTCAAGCGATTCTCCTGCCTCAGCCTCCTGAGCAGCTGGGACCACAGGCACACGCCACACCACACTTGGCTAATTTATATGTATTTAAGATTTCAAATGTACTTTATTTCTTCAGTAATGCCATATCTTAATGGGTACACAGTGCTTTAACTTGGCATCAATTATGAGCTGTTTTTTAAACAATTCATTATTACACCAGCTGGTATGATTACTGTTCTCTCCATTTTGGGGGGTGACTCTGCCAACAGGGGACAGGCTCCATTCTATTCTGATTTGTGTTGTTACATATGTCCATAGAGCAATACAGAAAGTGGCTCCACTAGCTAATACAGTATTACCATATTTGTCATGAAAATCAGGTGTACGTTTCTGGTGGCTCTGCCATCATTGTTTGCTGAATGCTTCGACCTTGGAGACGACTTAGTTTGTTTTTGACCAAGGGAAACATCCTGAAGGTGAAGATAGAACTGCAGCAATGAAGCTGCTGCTTTAATTTTTGCATTTTTAGTAGAGACGAAGTTTCACCATATTGGCCAGGCTGGTCTGGAACACCTGACCTCAAATCATCCACCTGCCTCAGCCTCCCGAAGCTCCTCTTTTTTTCACACGGGGAATAGCAGAGTCAATTGTCTATCAGGGCTTTCTGCCCCCAGTAGTGTACAACTCTGCTCTGTGATTTTCTTTAAGGAAACTACTTTGTAGGTTAGCATTTATGACAAAATGGGGAATTGTTCCTTTCTGTTGATCTGTGGTTCTTTAATTTGAATAAGCAGGTAAATCAGCTCCTTCTTCCTAAAAACTATGCATATTTTTGGGTCATGTCCCCTACCTACCCCGCCAGTTCAGTCTCTGGGGCAGTGACTGAAGTCTGCATTTATAACAGGAGATGCTATGGAAATGATCTTGTTTCTAGAGTCTCTGGCTGAAGCTGCTCTTATTTTTTGTTTTCTTCATGCTGTAACTGATTCTACATTTGAAATGTGGAGAGGTTGATACTATGTGAACAGCTTTGTAGAAAGAGAAAAGGAAGATTTAGGCCCACACATGCAGGTGCTAACTTGGCTGCTGTTTTCTTCTGGGGGAAGAGGGATTGTGCTTCCCGCCACCCCCCACTTTTTTTTTTTTTTTTTTTTGCCTAGATAGCCTTTAAAGATGTCAATGGCTGGCCAGGCGCAGTGGCTCATGCCTGTAATCCCAGCACTTTGTGGGGCCAGGGCAGTGAATCACCTGAGGTCAGGAGTTGGAGACCAGCCTGGCCAACATGGTGAAACCTAATCTCTACTAAAAATACAAAAATTAGCCAGGCATGGTGACACACACCTGTAGTCCTAGCTACTCAGGAGGCTGAAACAGGAGAATCACTTGAACTCAGGAGGCGGAAGTTGCAGTGAGCCAAGATAGTGCTATACTGCACTCTAGCCTGGGCAACAGAGCAAGACTCGTCTCCAAACAAAAAAAGAAAAAAAAGGTTGTCAGTGTGCTGTGCTTCCCTTTTAGGGTGACTTGGTGGTATTGATCCCTTGGTCTGTGACAGACCCTGTGCTAGGTTATTTCCATATCTTATCATATTTAGTCTTTACACAAACATGGAAAGGTTATTGCCATTAACCCCATTCTTATTTTGCAGATGAGGAACTAAGCTCACAGGGGGAAACTGCTTTAGGTTATAAAGCGCTTGGATGGTAGAGCTGAGATCTGCATAGAGGTCTGTGGTTCTCCAGAGTCCCTAAACTGTCGTTCCCATAGTACCAGGCTGCCTCTTTGGAGCAGGGTTGTTCTAAGAGGGCAGGTGTTGTCAATTAGGTCCAGGTGTTCACTGATGGAATGCGAGAGTGGATGTAGTGGTCTGCACTTTCTGGAGCCTGGTGTTGTCTTGAGAACCATGGTTGGGAGACAGGGTCTGGTCCCAGTTCCTGCTCAGTGATTATGGGTGTTCACTGCCTTTGCTCTGGACTCTTTTGAGCAGTTAGAAGTCAAAGAGGGAATGGAAATAGATGAGTGTTGTATTGGCCACAGAACCTAAACCCAATATGTAAAATTGCTGAGAAGAAAATACTTA